AGTACCTCTGTACTTCCCATACAGATGAGTGCCGTCAATTTGAATTATAGGCTTGCAGTGTTTGAATGCTTCAATGCATTGGTGAAATGTCCAAAAAACCCTTTGAAATACGGCCCTGTCTGTATAAACCCGACGTTCATCAAAACATTGATTTGTATCAAGTTTGAACACAGAACCCACATTCACCTCCGTCATATACTTCAGCCAATTTGGCAAGAATGCGTACGATTTCTCCCAGTCACCAAACAACTTAACGATGGCCTTCATTTTTGCCTTCCAGGCCTTCCTGTACGTTATGTTGTATCCATATGTTCCCTGTATCCTCTCCTGTATCAGAGCTGGTCTTGTGGATGGATCTTCCTTTAACATATCTGGAAAAAAAAATTAACTTTACCATATTCTCAATTAATCTGAATCATTAAATAAACAGTGGAATACATACTCATTATAGCCGCACAAATGACATTTGAATCCAACTGTCTATGATCCTGTGATAGGCCTTGATTTAGGCATGTGTGACCTTGACCCCATTTACGGACCACCTAGTTAGCTCCCTTCTTCGGCTTAATTGCCCTCATATACCAGGGACAACCGTCAGCATGGTTTTTACACTTCATAACAAATCTTGACTCGTCGCTTTTTTCAACTATGGCTGTCCTGCGCCCCTTCATACAATGTATCTTCACAGCATGTTGCAATTCTGGTTTGGACCCAAATTCTTGTTGCACAAATAACGGATCTCCTAACTTCCAACCTCCGTGCAAGTCATCATCGCCATATAGGATCTCCAACTCGTCATTAGGGTGCGCCCAGTTAATGAATGAATAATGTTGGCTTTCATTCCAGAATGGCTCCTCAGACCCTGCATCTAAAGATCATGTCAAATTTAATAACTTACCACAAATAATAAATTGTCTAAAGCAAATATTCAAATTTAATAACTTACCACTACTGACTGGGTCGACATGAAGTGGTGACAAGGCTGGGGTACCGAGACTTACGGCGCTCATGTCAGCCTCAAAATTACCGTCCACGTCAGTGTCTGACGAATCACCTTCTGGAATAGCACTTTCAGGTTCTCCCTCATCTTCGCTGTCCACATAGTCCTCGTCTTCATCCTCTTCATCCTCATCCCATGCTACCTGAGGAGGTGCAGAAGATCGTACAACTGTATCTTCTTGACCGGTACAGTGTGCAGTAGTGGTTGTATGCACCGGTAAAGATGAAGATTGTCCAACATCAACTTCAACATATATCTCAATATATTTTAATACTTTCCATTCAACAAACGCATCTGTTACGAACTCCACATCTTCATCATCATTTATATCGTTTCCAATGTAGTATATTGTATCCATATCCACTACAGTCTCTAACCTGGCTATCATGCGGTGGATGGAATGTATGCCTTCTGACCCCATTTTTTGAAGAATTCTCTCCTTCAGTTCATTGCATGTAGTGCCCACTTTGATTTTCATCGTTTTTGTTTTTCCTTCAAATCGGACACCGTTCGGACCTTCAAAATGCCTCCCATTGTAGTAAACAACTATAGGAACCATGTTTGGACTTGAACTCATCTTTCACACAAAAATTAGATCTAGGTTTTGGGTTTGGAGGTTGGTTCGGATTTTTTAGCACAAAATGGGAGTGTGGAGATGTAATCTCAATGTCCCACCAAGATTCAGCTTTCTGAAATGATGAGATGAAATATGTGTGATGTTTCGGATTAGAGAGGGTAAGAGAGAAAGATTTTGGGGTTTCAAAAACCCTATACCTCGCAACAATGGCCGAAACCCATACATATTGGGGTTTCTGGACGCGATTTACCCGGGTACACTGCTCCGTACCCGGGTAAATAATTCAAACATTTTCCCAGATTCAAGAACTCTACCCGGGCACATCCCTACATACTCGGGTAGATAAAAAGTTTCAAAATTTACCCGGGTAGGTAATGGTGTACCCGGGTAGGCTTCGTGGTCAACGGTCAAACAGGGGCAGATTGGTGTTATGTTTGTTGGGGAGGGTAAATTTTCGAAATAGTTTTGAATGAGGGGCAATTTGGTAATTAATTATTAATTAAGGGGCATAAGGGTCAAAAAGCCTGTATATGTATGCTATATTAACATGATTCATAAGAAATTTTCCTGTAATCATGAGGTAAGGAAATAGAATTTCAAAAATCATAAAGATGGATCAATAATATTATAATTAGTTTTCTGCTTGAATAAAAGTAACATCATATTATCATTTAGTCTTCTGCCACACATCCATTTAAATCATGCATTTCTCACCCTTCTAGAATATAGATGTTTATAGTGGCTAATGTCCTACCAAATCTGCTAATTCTTAAACGCTTCATTTTAAAAAAAAATTGGAATGTAGATAAATTTAAATTTGTATACTAACAATCCTTCACTCCTATTGGGAATTCAAGTGTCATCGATAAAAATTTTCCATACGGGAAAGAATGGGTTAAACATGGTACATATAAGTGAAAGACACATAAATCCAATACCTTAATTAAGGTTTTGGGTGTAAAACATAGTGTCGGACTTTCTTAATGTGATTTGTTTAGCTTAACTCATTGGTGGTGGTCCCTTATCATGGACTCCCCCTGACCTGTCTGACAATGGTATCAGAGTCGGGTTGAGCTCGAGTTAGATTGATGTTTGGCTAGAGGCGAGTTGAGTACTTGGACTTGGGGTACTCGGAGAAAGATGGAACATATCAATGTGGAGTTTTCACACTTGAGGGAGATATAGTTTTGGTAATGGGCTAAGTGAAGTCTATATAAGTGGAAGTATCCATAAACCCAATGCCTTAATATTTTTGGTTGAGACATGCTGTGGTTGATGTAGCTTATCCCATTTGTGGTGGTCCTTCACCACGGGCTCCCCTGGCCAAACTGACAATGGCATCAAAGTCAAGTTTAACTCGGGCTAGTTTAGTGTTTGGCTAGAGGGGTTGAGTACTTAGGCCTTGTGGTACTCTGAGAGACTTTCGTTGAGCCAGGTTGGGCTAGGGCTAGTTTGGTGATTGATTAGAGGAGGGTTGTGTCCCCATTGTTGGGGAGCATATCAATGTGGGTTTCATATTTGAGGGGGAAATTATTGGGATAGTCAAGTGTGGTATAATCCCATATTGGTTGGTAATGAGTCAAAGGGAATTACTTGCTTTAGTTGGAGTAGTTTAGTCCATTAGTGACGGTCTCCTGCCATGGACTTCCTTTAACTTGCCTAATAAAGGTCTCAGAGTCGGGTTAGGCTCGGCCTAACCAAGTGTTTAGCTAAAGGCAAGTTGAGTACTTGAGCCTGAGATACTCAGAGTTGATGGGAAACATACCAATGTTGGATTTTACACTTGAAGGGGAGATTGTTAGAATATTGAAGTGTGATAATGAGCTAGATGAAGTCCATATAAGTGGCAGGACCTATGAACCAAATACCTTAAAGTTTTTTGGGTTGAGACATGGTATTGAACTCACTTGCTATGATTTGTCTAGCTTAATCCATTGGTGATAATCTCGTGCCATAGACTCTCTCAAGCTCCTGATAACTCTTTTTCTTTTATTAGACATGTAAGCACATTAATAATTATGAAAGAATATAATTATAAAATATAAATAAATGCTAGCAAAATTAGCCTAAAAGTGGCAAATGCCTTTATTATCATAGAAATTTGAATTAAAAGAGAAAAAAATGTCAAAAGTAAACACCCGGTGCGAATTTTTCAAAAGGCGACATGAATAAATTAAAAAAAAAATGTAAAGATCAAATAGTGGTAGCTCAGTTGGTGCATGAGAGCTAAGCAGGTGAGGGTGAGAGCATGTATTCGAATCTCTCCAGTACCACTTTTGGGAAGAGTTTAAAGCCTTAATCCTGGACTCACCCCAAATCGAATTAGTTGCGAAGCAATGAACTGATTGGAATATTTCTAAAAAAAAAAGTGTAAAGAAAATAAAAAAAGTGACTATAAGATGAATAAAATATAAATAATCTTGTAGACAAAAAATAAATAAATTTAAACAGTAATTGAAATGAAGAAATTAAAAAAAAAATGTAAAGAAAGTTTAAAAGGAACTATGACATTAACAAAGTTTAAAATTTATGCAGGAAAAAAATTAACGCATGAATATCAACTTTGTTTTTATTATTTTAACACAATATGAAAATTTTAAATTTAGACTCACCCAAATAAATATTTTTACTTATTCAAATTGTAAATATTCACTCAATACAGTGGTTAAAAGTAGTTATTTAAATTCAAAATTGAAAGTTCTATATTGAGAGACTTTTAACCTTCATCATACACATATCAAAATTCTGAAAATAATGTACATATGCAAGAAAAATTATAATTCTCTTTTGTTTTCCGGTAAATATAAATATCTTTATTACTTTAATGTTATGATGACTAATGTGGTATTTAAGTATAACTTGGTCATCCTCACCTACAAACCCAAGCAAGCAAACAAACTTATTAAGCAATTGTCTGATATTCCAATGAGTTGCCAGATTAAAAATAACGCAAAAGACTAAGCCAAAAGATAAAACAAAGAAAACCGAGGGGCAAATTGGGTATTTAAGATAACACACCGCCAGATGTCACCTAACAGGGGAATCTGGAAGGTGGAGGGACATCTTCCAAGTTAAAGATATTTTTTTTTTTTGAACATTGAAGTTAAAGATATTGACGAGGTCAAATTTGCAAGAAACCTAGGATGTTTTTTCCAAGAATCACTCAAGTTAAGCGTAACGCGCTTCGGTAGAGCGTGTAATGCTTTTCCGTATCTGATAATTCATCAGACGGTGAATGTGGCGCGTGGATAATTTGCGTGCGGGGAAGGTTTGAACAGTCAAGGGCGGCTAGGAGCTTAGTGATGAAAACGGAGGCCCGAGGGTCGAGGAACTATATACGTGGCCCACTGAGAAAACGACGATAAATGGAAAAAAACGACAAATGTGAAGAGAGAGAAAGTGTGACTTGTGAATGAAAATTTTGATGGTGGACCTGATGCGTATTTGCGGGTTAGATGTGTTTTTCTTCAGCAAAGGCCAGAGAGCAAGAAGTGAGGAGAGAGAGACAAGAGTGCGAGACAGAGTGATAGCTTCAGTGAGATAGATGGATATATAGTGGGTGGGTTGAGGTTTCTAGAGAGGAGACATGCCCAACTTGAACCCAACACTTTTTTAAGTACTTTGTTTCTTCATACCTTACCAGATCCCAAAGGTACTATCTACTCTCTCTCTCTCTCTCTCTTGCTTGTTTATTCTGCCTTATCCTGTTTGGCTCTCCACTAACCACCGTTTTTCCCTTTGCTTCATCACATCTCTTTCTTTTAATTTTTATTTTTATTTATTTTTTATTTTTTGGGTGTATCTTTTTTTTTTTTTTTTTTTTTCTTTTGTACTTTGTTTTTTTGCTTTGATTTGTGATTTATGTTATGTATGTGGAATCCAAGTGGGGGAGGTTGAAGTTTGGTGTTTCCCATTTGCATGTGGAGTTTGAAGTCAGCTGATGTTGTTATGGTCAAAACTGAGTTAAGATTTGGAAAGTGGTTGTGTGGGTGAAGTTGTGGTTATGTCTTCTCTAACTTCTGTTATTCTTATTCTTTCCTCCTCAGTTTTTAGTAATGGACATATTGTGGATGGGAAATTTTTTTTGCATTTTTTAGGTTTTTCTTTTTTTATTATTATTATTATAAGAAAAACAACTCAGGGTTGATCTATTTCTTGATTTTAGCTTATTATCTAGCATGTATATGTCTTATTATTATTATTATGAATGATCATATAATTCATCTACGTTGGATTTCCAGACAAACTGGTACTTGGGCTTGTAATTTGTATGTCTCAGATTGTTTTGATTAGATGCCACCAGACAGCAAAATAATTTTTAATTTTATTTTTCTACGAAGGACGTTTGTGGGATTAACAATGTATTATTATATTTACCAAAACAAAAAAAAAATTAATGCTGTATTATAGCTTTTTAGTGACTTGCTGATTTATATCCTGTCAGCAAGGTTTGTGATTTAGGCCATTTGGATAAGACACGTGAATTAAGGGAAATCACAAATAGAATTATCTGGGCCTTGATGTTATGAAGAAAATTATGTTCCTTGTTTTTAACCCAAGCATTTCCACTATCTTCTTTTTTTTTTGAGATATTTAATTGTTGCTTCGCGACTAGTCTTATTCAGGGCGGTTCTTGGGATTAAGGTTTTAAACCCCTTTCAAAGATAGTAATGAGAAAGATCAAACACGTGTTTTCACAACTACTTGCTCAGTTTCTTTACGCCAACTGAACTGCCATCGTTTGTTCTCGCAATCCTTATAACCCATTGTTTTATGTTTGTTGATCTTATGGGATTTATATCCTGTTTGTTATCTGGCTACATGAATATGCCTTCACCTACTAAGAATGTCCGTTGTGTAGTTTTCGTTAATTTTAGGATGATCATTTTGTTGGATGCGATTGAAGAATTTGAGAAATAAGGCTACAATACAAGATACATTGTACTCAGTGAATGATTAGCTATATTTCATTATATATATTTTTTATTATCACCCTTTAAAATTTGCCATTTCCTTAAAATTATCCCTTTTTTAATACAATGTTATATAAATTGTAGAATACCTACGACCGATCTGTTCTTATGTAGTGATGTGTCGCCCTAAAATTTTTCCATCTAAGACTGCCACCACATTATTCCCGTTCGGCACATCACTAAAACCACTCCCCATAAAATCCCGACTTGTGAGGGTAGGGATGTGAAAAACCCTTGCCACATCATAATTTAACAAAAAGAATTGGGGTGAAAAATCACTATAAGTACAAAGATATGTGAATGGAGGGACTAAAATGAAAGTTTTGAAATGGTTAATTTGAACTAGGAATTAAAATATGAGGAGTTAAGGATAGAAAATTTCATTTAGCCAAGCATTCATGACTTATAAGAGCACGGTATACTTGAGATTTCCGCATTAAGTAATGATTTATCTTTATTTATTATTTTTTTAATGCATTCTTCATTAAGTAGTGTGCGGTACTTTAAGAAAATGGCTACCTTCTAATGCTCTGATGTGGAATGTTAGTGTCATTAACATAACTTCATCCAATAGGTTAAGCTTTTGGGTTGAATTAGTTTTTTACATGGTATCAGAGCCTCGTGTACAGGTTTCGATCCTCGTCGCCCCTCTTTTTTGTGTGGAATTTCTTAGCACACGTAGGCTGGGCTGATGCATTATCCACTTTTCAAGTCCAATTGATTCTTTACATGGTATTAAAGCTTTGGTGTCCCGGATTCGATTTTCGCCGCCTCCCATTTTCTTTGTGGAATTTCTTAGCACAGGTAGGTGGGCCTGTGTATTGCCCACCCTTTAAGCCCAATGGGCTCTCGTGTAAGGGGGCGTGTTAGAGATATATAAAAATCATTAATGTAACCTTACCTAATAACTTAAGCTTTTGGTTTGAATTGATTTTTTACATGGTATCAGAGCCTCTATGTCACGGGTTCAATCCTCACCGCCCCCCACTTTCTCTTGTGGAATTTCTTAGCACAGGCAGATGGACCTGTGCATTGTACACCTTTCAAACCCAGTGGACTCTCATGCGAGGGGGCGTGTTAGAGAAATATAAAGTCATTAATATAGTCTTACCCAACAACTTAAGCTTTTTGATTGAATTAGTTCTATACGAAGGAAGAACAGGAAGAACATATATATTTTTGTTTGACCTAAAATTAAGATAACATATTCATATTATGTGTGTTAGGAACAACTTATTAACTTCCTTGTTGTTCAAATTTCCATTATGTATGTCCTTTTTATTCTGACCTTTCTCCCATCTATGTTTGTGTTGGGCTTCCTCCTTCAATGCTGAGCCCAAGCCCATTGAGGGGTTTTCCAAAAATCCTAAACCTTAAACCCTAAATTCCACCTCCTCTATATATTCATTAGTTGAGGGTGGAGGCTAGGTCAGATTAAGAGAGAAAATTTGAGAGATCTCTAGAGAGAGTTTGAGTGAAACATCTCTAGGGGGTTTGATTATCACTATTATTGGAGAGGTTGTGTTAACCACCACATTGGTGATTCTGATTATTTGTAACCATTATTTTCATAGTGGATTTTTGATCTGGACTAGGTCCCGTGAGTTTTTACTTCTTCATTGGAGAAAGTTTTTCCACGCTAAAACTGTTTGTGTTCTCTCTCTCCTTCTCTCTCTCCCAAATTTCGTTTTGATTTTCAGCTGCGCTGCCCGACCTGGTGAAGTTCAGGTCGAGGTATTGCCGAGAGCAGGATCTTGTTGATTGATTTCCGCAAAGGGCTGTAGAAGCCGAGTTTGAGGGAACCGAGTTCCCAACAGTGGTATCAGAGCCAGGTTCGACGGGTTCTGAGGGAGACGAGATGGAGACCAGTGGCATAACCCATGATGGAGATATGTTCAAGCTGACCGCAAACAACTTCACCTATTGGAAACCGATGATGGAAGATCATATCTACTGCAAAGATTTACATGAGCCCATTACCCTTGATAAGAAACCGGAAGGCAAAACCGATAAGGAGTGACAGATTCAGAGTCGTAAGGCGGTAGCTACGATCAGAAAATATATTGACAAGAGCCTCTTTGAGCACGTGTCCGAGTTCACGAACGCATATGAGTTGTGGACGAAGCTGGAGTCCATGATTCAGAAGAAGACTCCCAAGAACAAAGCACACCTGGCTCGCCGACTTGTGAAGCTGGAATACAAGGATGGCATGAGCATGATAGAACACCTCAACACCTACAAAGGTATTGTGAATCAGCTGTCAAAGGCTGAGATGAAAATTGATGACGAGATGCAGGCTTTGCTGCTGTTGAGCTCGCTGCCAGACGATATTTTGGTGGTGACCTTGAATAATTCAACCTCAGATGGAAAATTGAAGATGGATTTTGTGACAGACAGCCTCCTGGGCGAAGAAGCCAGGAGAAGAGAACGAGGTATTTCGAGCACGTCTGAGGCAAACGTTGCTGAGAACAGAGGGAAATCCGACTCCCGAGGTAGAAGCAAGAGCCGGGGTCGAGATCGTGATAGAAGAGGAAAGTTCAGAGGTCGGTCAAAGCCGAGATATGAGTTGAAGTTCTTTTACTGTGGAAAGACAGGTCATAAGAAGCCAGACTACTGGACCTTGCAAAATGACGAGAAGAATGGCTCTGTGAAGCTGGATCAGATTATTCCCAAGAAGAGGGAAGACAAGAGCACCACTGCGGTGGCTGGAAACCTGGATGCCGAGATATTCCTCCTTGGTGAGGATAATTATTTGAATGTTGCATATGATGACTGCACCTGGATTGTTGACTCCGGTGCCTCCTTCCACGTTACTCCACACAAATGTTTTTTCTTCTCTTACCGAGGTGGTGATTTTGGAGTCGTGAAGATGGGAAACCAAGTGACCAGCAAGATTGTTGGTTTCGGTGATGTAACCCTGACCACAGATGTCGGATGCCGACTTGTGTTGAAGGATGTGAGGTATGTACCTGACATGCGTTTGAACCTAATCTCGGTAGGCAAACTTGATGATGCCGGGTTAGTGAACTACTTCGGTAGTGTGAGATGGAAGCTGGCCAAGGGAAACTTGGTCGTGGCCCGAGGTAAGAAGGAATGCTCCTTGTACGTGATGCAAGGAAAGATCAATGGCGGAGAAGCCAATTCTGTCCGAGATGAACCTAGCTTGGAGCTATGGCACAAGCGCCTCGGCCACATGCGAGAAAGGGATCCAGATCCTGAACAAGAAAGGATTACTGACCGGGTTGAAAGACCAAGCGTTGAAGAGTTGCACGCACTGCCTAGCTAGAAAGCAGCACCAGGTTTCTTTTATGAGACCGGATCAACCCAGACGACGCAGGTATATTCTTGACCTCGTCCATATTGATGTTTGCTCCATGTCGGAGAGATCTCTAGGAGGAGCTCAGTATTTTGTTTCATTTATTGATGACTACTACCGCAAAATGTGGGTATATTTGTTGAAGTCTAAAGATAAGGTACTCCAATCCTTTAAAGAATTCCATGCCATGGTTGAAAGGGAGACTGGCAAGAAATTGAAGGTGGTCCAATCTGATAATGGTGGTGAGTATTGCGGCCCATTTGATGCATACTGCAGAGCGGCCGGGATCCGACTTGAGAAGACGCCCCCCAAGACTCCACAGCTGAATGGACTCGCTGAGAGGATGAACAGGACTATTGAAGAAAAGGTCCAAAGCATGTTATCCAATGCCGGATTGCCGAAATCATTCTGGGGAGAAGCCGTCAGAACTGCTGTGATTTAATCAACCTCTCACCATCACGGCCACTTGAAGGAGAAATTTCAGAAGAAGTCTGGACAGGTCGGAAAGCGGCCAAAAATCAACTGAAAGTATTTGGATGCCGAGCTTTCGTGCATATCCCTAAAGATGAAAGGGCAAAACTTGATGCGAAGACAAAAGAATGCATCTATCTTGGTTCGCCGAGATGTGAGTTCGAGTTCCGACTTTGGGATCCAATCAATAAGAAGATAGTGAGAAGCCGAGATGTGATCTTTCATGAAGATGAGAACATTCATAACATCTCGAAGCCCAAAGTCCGGGTTACTGTCAGATGTGAAGAACCCATCCCTCCTGTCCGAGCTGAAGCAGGGGGAGAAAATCAAGAAAATAATGAAGAAGATGATGACAAGCAACATGCCGATGATGACCAAGACACTAAGGTCCAAGTTGATGATGAGATCCGGGATGAGAATGATGAACCAGGTTGTCAAGCTGAAGAATAGCCGAGATACCCAACTCGAGAAAGAAGACCCTTTACAAGATACCCATATGATGAATACACCGTTGTTGCTGAAGACGGTGAGCCTCAGAGTTATGATGAAGCTGTGACGAGCTCAGAGAAAGAAGAATGGGAAAAGGCAATGCAAGACGAGATGAAGTCTTTGCACGAGAATCAGACTTATGAGCTGACCGAGTTGCCTGAAGGAAGACGAGCTTTGAAAAATAAATGGGTCTACAAGATTAAGAATGAAGAGAACGGGCAGAAGCCGAAATACAAAGCCTGGATTGTAGTAAAAGGCTGCATTCAGAAGAAATGAGTAGATTTTGAGGAGATTTTTTCTCCAGTGGTAAAAATGGCCTCGGTCTGAACCGTGTTAGCCATGGCGGCTTCGATGGACCTCGAGGTAGAACAAATGGACGTGAAGACGACATTTCTTCACGGTGACATAGAAGAAGAGATATATATGGAGCAACCTGAGGGGTTTCGAGCTCCAGACCAAGAAGACTTGGTATGCCGGTTGAAAAAGAGCCTCTATGGCTTGAAGCAAACACCTCGGCAGTGGTACAAGAAGTTTGAATCATTCATGACTGATCACAAGTTTGAGAAGACAGAAGCTGACCACTGTGTATTTGTGACGAGGTACGAGGCCAGAGATTTTTTGATCTTGTTGTTATATGTTGACGACATGCTTATTGTATGGAAAGACAAATCGAGGATAGCCGCCCTGAAAAAGGCGTTGAGCTCGTCTTTCGCAATGAAGGACCTCGACCCTGCAAAGCAGATTCTCGGAATCAAGATTATCCGAGATAGACAAAAGAAGCTACTGTAGCTGAGTCAAGAGAAGTATATTGAGAAGATTCTGAAGAGATTCAGCATGGATAAAGCCAAAACAGTGAGCACCCCCCTTGTCGGACACATAAAGTTGAACCAGAAGCAATGTTCGAGATCTGATGAAGACAAAGATGAGATGATGAAGGTCCCGTACCAATCCGTCGTCGGAAGCTTGATGTACGCAATGGTTTGCACTAGACCCGACTTGGCGTATGCTGTTGGAATGGTAAGTCGGTATTTGTCAAACCCCGACAAAGAACACTGGGAAGCAGTGAAGTGGATCTTCAAGTACCTCCGAGGTACGACCAACTTATGCCTCTGATTTGGAGAAGGCAAAACCGAGTTGCAAGGCTACTCGGATTCTGATTTAGGGGGAGATTCCGACTCAAGGAAATCGACGACGGGATACATGATAAGATTTGCCGGAGGAGCTGTCTTTTGGCAATCAAGACTTCAGAAATGTGTTGCATTATCGACAACTGAGGCTGAGTACATTGCCGCTACTGAGGCAAGCAAAAAGATGTTGTGGATGAAGAAGTTCCTCATGGAACTCGGCCATGATTAAGACAAGTACGAGCTGGGTTGTGACAATCAAAGCGCAATCCATCTTGCGAAGAATTCGACCTATCACTCCCGTACTAAGCACATTGATGTGAGGTATCACTGGATCCGGGATGTGGTGGAAGGTGGAGAGCTCGAACTCGTCAAGGTGCACACTGACCAAAATTGGTCCGACATGATGACAAAGCCGGTTCTAGCAAGGAAATTTGAAGACTGCTGTGAAGGAGCCGGGTTGTTGCTGAAGCTGACGCATTGAAGTCGGAGGGGGAGATTTGTTGGGCTTCCTCCTTCAATGCTGAGCCCAAGCCTATTGAGGGGTTTCCCAAAAACCCTAAACCTTAAACTCTAAATTCCACCTCCTCTATATATTCATTAGTTGAGGGTGGAGGCTAGGTCAGATTGAGAGAGAACATTTGAGAGATCTCTAGAGAGAGTTTGAGTGAAACATCTCTAGGGAGGTTTGATTATCACCATTGTTGGAGAGGTTGTGTTAACCACCACATTGGTGATTCTGATTATTTGTAACCATTATTTTCATAGTGAATTTTTGATCTGGACTAGGTCCCGTGGGTTTTTACTTCTTCATTGGAGAAGGTTTTCCCACGTTAAAATTGTTTGTGTTCTCTCTCTTTCCTTCTCTCTCCCAGTATTCGTTTTGATTTTCCGCTGCGCTGCCCGACCTGGTGAAGTTCAGGCCGAGGTATTGCCGAGGTCAGAGATCAGGATCTTGTTGATTGACTTCCGCAAAGGGCTGTAGAAGCCGAGTTTGAGGGAATGAGTTCCCAACAGTATGTTCTTAGTGAGTGTTGTTCTACATGTTTGTGGCTTCCATGGCTTAACTTATGTTTTGTAAGAACTTCTAGTTAAAGAAAATAGTATATCATCTTTAAATTGAGAGCAGCTAAGCTAATTGTGAATTTTTGTTATAATTTCCATATTTTTTTTTTGGTGGAGATAATTTCCATATTTAACTTCTATTGTTTGGTTTCTGGTTGGATTTTACACTGACTATGTTGCTTGCTGACCTAGCAATCAATACTACTTTTTTGAGTGCTTGTAAATCCAAGGGGATACTGCCTTTTGGGTTCTAAATAAGCTAATTTTTAGGTGTACTTTTTTATGCTGTTTATTTCCTTCCTTATAAATATTTAGAGGGATTGGAAAATTTATTTGTTTTTTTTTATCTTTTTTTGGAGTTAACTCAACCCTAATTATTATTATTATTATTTTTTTAACAACTAACACTCTTGTTTCGATTTCTATGTTATGCTATATAGGATTTATTTTCCTTCACTTTCTTTGCACCTGATTTTTTCCCTTTCTAACGAAGTTTCTTATTTTATCCCTCCTGAAAAAGAATTAGAAAACAATAAATTTATACAATTTTTTTATGAGCTATTGCTCCATGTATTCAGGGGGGTTAGTTCTGTGAATGGCTTCATTTTCAGTCCTTGGCATTAATGAACCATGAAAATTTGGTGAACGGATAACTCCACTCTTCTATGTCTATCCCCTTGGGTGACTAGCTGATTTGAGTATAAATACGTTCTTAATTTGATGACAATATTTGATCTGTTGCATATGATTTCCTATTCTAAGAACATAAATTTTGGAACATTACATCCCTTCCTATCCTTTAGTTTATTACATGTTGTGTTCCAGTTACTGAGGAGTGGAAATACGTACATGTCATTTCTTTTTGTTCTGCTAATATGTTATGCTTTACATAACTTTCTTTTATATGTATGTGATATTCCTTGCTTCACTTACCTTCTTGGCCATCTAACATGAAACCATTCTCTCAGGTCAAAATCTAAATTTTAAGTAATGGCTGTGTTGAAGGTTCCATGAAGCCATTTATCTTGTTGAATCGTCCTGATACCGAGTTCAATTGTTCACAAGTTGATTCTAATCACTCAATGGTATGTGAAGCTTCTTTTTTTGGATTTGTTGCTTGCACTTCAAGTGACTAACTAGTTGTCCTCCAATTTCAGGCTCATGCTCCTTATCATTATAGTGACCCAATTTTCGCCAGTTCATTAGTTGCTTATGGACAACAGGCTATTGTAAGTTATGTCTAGTACATCTTTTTATGATACCTGATTTTTGCTATATGAAATTTTTGTTACATTTTTTATTGGTGAAGGGAATTTGTTACATTTTGATTTTGTAGTATAATTTTTTAATATGATGTCACTGTCTTTGAATATATTTTAGAATCAACCCCAACTGTTGCCCCAGATGCTGGGATTAACATCCACCAGAGTTGCATTACCACTTGATCTTGCAGATGATGGGCCCATTTATGTTAATGCGAAACAATACCATGGTATACTTAGAAGACGACAATCACGTGCAAAGCTTGAGGCTAAGAACAAACTCATCAAAAGTCGTAAGGTATGCTCCATAAAATGGTGTGATGCTTTGAAAACGTTTTTTTTCATTCACTGCCTGATAGCCCATGAAATTGCTGCAATAATTTTTTCATGCTTAACGTGGTAAGTATAATATATATAGGGGTAAGTTATGTTTATATCGTTGTAAAAATAAGAAGTCTTACACCAAATTTTAGTCATTGATTTGCTTGCAATTAATGGCTTATATATCTAATAATTGTTAGATATAAATAGGATCAACGGTTAAGATTGAGAGTGTAATTTATATCGATGTAAAATGATCCTGACCCATATATATATATATATATATATATATATATATATTCATTATTTGTATTGTCACTGTATATAACGTTTCGTATTGTCAGCTAAAAACGACGTAGTTTTGGATGAGATAAAGGAAGTTCACGTTCAAAATTAATTGTAGAAAATGGAAATATTATATTTATTTTTATTTGTGTATGGTTATGATTTCTTATATTTAATGTTTTATATTTATTTTCACTTTTGTATGATTATGATTATACATATTTAATGCTTTAATACTATAAAACGACGTAATTTTATATAACTGCACCAATATTTAGGTGCAGTCACTATACATCCGACAATATATTATTGAGGGGGTGGAAGTGAATAAAAAAGAAAGTGAGATTGGTGCTATAAAACTTCCTTTGTGTGTAGGATTGTTAGACTCATTATGTGGGTCTAACAGTTTTATCTTACATTTTCAAAATGCTGATTAAATGAATCGAATATTTCACTTCCTGGTCACATGGCAACAACACCAATTTAAGGAATTAAATTTATAATAAAATGCAAGGGGAAGTTTTGCATTTTGTATAACCCACAGGGTGAACATGGTTACTCCAGGTGGCAATCTATAATACACTGATATTTCAAAAAATCTGACGTGTCCTTTCCGGCACTCTCCGACACTCTAACACGGGTTGCAGAGACTCAAAAAAGGATTCGAAGGTTGCGTTTCGTTTTTAGTTCCAACTATTAAATTCGTGGGATTAAGATTATCATTTTATTGGGTTTAATTTAAATATTTGGGATATTTTATGTTTCTTTGTAAAATTGATAGATATTATAAATTTAGTGTTCATTTTTTTTTTAAATTATTGAATACTAAATATAATATACACTGCATATATTAAAAATATTATTTAATATCAAAACATGTCTTAACATGTTAAAATTTAACATTTTTTAAAGTTAACATGTCGGAGAATCGTGTCATGTCTTGTGTCGGTTTGAGTGCAACATAAGTGGCAATGGTCCTGTGCTAGAGAAAATTTACGTGTCAATTACATGGTAAACTTGTTATTTGCAAGGGAATGTTGGAAAATCTTCAAATATCAAAAGGATAGTTATAGGAATTAGAAATGTAACTGCAGTAGAATTACATGTTGCATTATTTTGTAAACAATTATTCCATTATATTGAATGTTGAACCATATAAGCAAAGTTGTTGACACCTTTTATTATTGTGGATTATACCAAATTTGCTCCTCTAACTGAAATACTGAATGCAGCCATATCTCCACGAGTCTCGTCACCGCCATGCCTTGAATAGGGTCAGGGGATCTGGAGGGAGATTTCTCAGCAAAAAACAGCTTGCACAGTCTAATGCAGAACTTGTCAATGGTGCACATTCTGGCTCTGAACCTGTCAACATATTATATCAAAAGAAAGATGCATCAAAGGGGGAAAGTAATTCCTCAAGAACTGAAGAAAATGCATCATCTTCCATCACAACCTGCTTTGACAGAACATGTTTATCCAGTAATAGTGTCAATTTTAGGCATCCTGAGCGCATGTTTCTTGGGAACTCCTCAAACATGGGTGGAGGAGCACCACCACAATGCAGTGGGGGAATCACCTTTGGTGGAACAAAGCAACGTGCTTCAGTTGTCCGGTGAGAGATGGAACCAAACAAATATCTATTTCATCGGTCAGGCAAATCATCCTTGGCTCTTTGTTTTTCATGTGTTCTTACAAACATGTCTTTTTTTAAGAGACTTTGCAATCTGCATTAGCACTTGGACATTTCCTATTGCATTGCCATGTATTTTTAAAGTTGCTATTGCTTACGCTAGTCTTTCGAACTGCGTTGGAATAGTTTGTGCATGAAACTTTTTAAGTTTGTGATCCATATATAATTTCTATGGAATGAATGGCCTTGCTTTAAAATGTGACACGTTCAGCATGGATTGAGCAAGTTGTAGTTGGGAAATCTTAACAAATTTAAGATTGTTTAAGTGGAAGTTGTTAAAAACTTACAATTTTAATGTATCATTGAACACAAGTTGAGTTGGGACCATATGCTAAAATCAGACAGGTTGTCATGATCCCACAAGAAACTTGAAAATTCAGCAATAAGATGCCAAACTTAATACACTTTATAGGGGGTGTTTATAACCTAAACTAAGCCTGTAATGGAGTGAGAGGTATCGTTTATTATATTTTTATTATAAATTTTAATATCATAGTATTATTAACATGATTGGAAAACTTTGCATTGTTCATCTTATGATTAAATTATGTATATGGTATCAAGTTACGTAACAATTGAAAAAGGTGATAGGAAGTTATGATGGAGATTTTAAACAACGCTTGTTGGTAGGTATGTGAAGTTTACAATATAATAATTGATGGTATTAATCTATATAATTTATTACGTGAAGGCTATTTTGTATTTTTAAAAGCTATAGTTATTGAGTAAAAACATTGATCATATCATTTGTAAGTAGGAGTGTTTAAATGCAAGTTGAGTGTTTAAATGCAAGTTTAGGTCATGAGTCTTTAAAAAGGGAATTTAACCATTCTCAATCAAAAAGTAGTGATACCAAGATGCCTGATAAATTTAATGAATGATTACTATATAAAAGGAATTTACCTGGAGAATGTATGGTTGATTTTAGTTTGTTTGGGATGTAATTGTGTATGATAATTATTTTTTTTAACTTTATTTTTTATTTTTGGACAAATAAATTTTTTATTTTATTTTTATGCCCGTGAACATAGAAATTAAAAAATTTATTTTTTTCTCAATGTTTATTTTGGGTTACCGATTTATTATCTACAACAGAAAAAAAAAATTAATTTTGTTAAATATAAATTTTAACTATTTCTGTTCCTCTTATTAAAAATGAAAAAAAATTATGATAATATTATCAGATACATTTAATTTGATATGATTTTATTAAGAAATATGAAAATATTATATTTTTGTAATTTATTTTAAACATTTTATAAAAGATTAGCAAAAAATAATTTCACTATTTTCTTCACAGAATTTTGAGTTACGTACGCGGCTAACATTACTTAATTCACAGTATTCGTTCGCGCATATCAGTCAGTATTATTATTATTATTAATTTTTTTGGAAATACAAAGGAAACTAAAAGTTTAAGTGGGGTAGTCGCCGGTACCCCACTAGAGTCAGAAAAGATCTCTCAATTTTTTTGAGAATTTTCGAGAAGAATTACATATCACTCATCAAAGAGACCCTCACATCGGCTAGCGAGATTTGAACTGCCATCCTTTTGGAGACAGCAGCGAACCCGTAACTAACTGTGCCAAACCTTTTGGCTATTCATTTCTTTCATCCCATCTATCTTCTTCATCAAAATTAATCATGCATCTTTCTCTATCTAAAATCATGTGAAAAAATTTATTAATATTTTCTAAATTCTGTACTGTCACTCATGCTAACCCCCCTTAATTACGTATTTCCGTAATCATTCAAAAGTTTGCCATTTAATATAATCTCACTCCTTAGAATGCAAGTTATGCAACTGCAGAAGACAAGTAAATTTTTATAACAAAAATACTTACAGTACTACTTATAACTTGGAAGACTATCATAACTTGTAATTAATATTATCTAAATTTAATACTACCACTCATACTAGGCCCCTTAATTATGTATTTCCGTTATCATACTAAATTTTGTCATTATATATAATCTTACTCCTCAGAAAGCAACAGCGGAGGACAAGCAAATACTTACAACCTTACTTATAACTTGGAAGGCTAAACTTAATAATATCACTCATACTAGCCCCCTTAATTACGCATTTCCGTTATCATACTAAAGTTTGCCATTTAAAAAGTTTGCGGTTTTATAGAAAAAATTATCCGATCGAATCTTTTCTGTTTGATCATTTAATTATTCATTGATTTTTTAAAATGTCTAAAATTTTAGTCATACAAATTACTGACTGTCTTAAAATAAAGCCATCCAAAATTATAAACCACTGAAAAATAAGTTTTCGAAATAAAACAAGTCTTAAAACTCATGAAGAGTTAAAATAAATCAATAGCCAATAAAAAATTAAAACAAAATAGTTTGCTATCAATAACATCCAAGATTCCAATTCATCATCTTTTGGAAATAATAAATACATAATGCATTGAATCGGTTTTCATCAACCAAACTGAAAATCGATCCAATCTAATTAAAATATGTGGGTTTTTTTTTTCGATTTTTAGTTTTTTGATTTTTGATTAATTCAATTATCGGTTTTTTGGTTCGGTTTTTACAGTTTGAATAAGTTTGGATCAATTGATGAACACCCCTACTCCATAGCAACAGTACAAGACAAGCAAATTTTTATTATTAAATTAATAATTTCAATTATTAATTTAAATTTAAAAGTTAATTTTCTATTTATAATACTAGCTTTTTTTTCTAAACTCGACGTATTGGAAGGCTCAAATACAAAATTGAACACTTTGTAGTAGCAAAACTTGATCATGATTACTAAGTTTAGATTTAGGAGTAAACTTCACAAGTGCATTTGAGTTTTAATAATTTCTATTGTTATTTATTAATTCTGTCAAACAATACAGCTAGCATATTTTGAGTACTTGTTGTAGTATGTAGAAGTAGAAAAAAGTGGGACCTATGATATCAATCATGAAATAATGTATATAATAAATGTAAATAAAAAAATTATTTTTTTTTATAAAAAGTTAGCACTAAATATGAGTGTAATTTTTGAGTGCTCGAAATTCATAAACACTACATAATTAATTGGATCGAGCTATGATATGAAAATTTATCAAGCAAGAAGTTTTAAATTTCAAGAAATCACGAAATTTACAATGCATAATTTTGAGCCAAATCCCATTTTTCATAAACGAAGAAAAACTTAAAAAGCAATGACAGGTTACAAGATGATCTCGACCTATATTAGGAGGCATAAAAGACCCAACGAAGGGAAATTTTTTAAATACCACGGTTGTACTGAATTCAGTACCTCATCTTTCCAAAATAAGAAAATTTTAATATCATATGTATCATGTATTTTTTTATTTATTTACCTTTATATCTTTATTATTTTTTAGATGGGAAAAGAGTGTAGCTGCCGCGATGGTATCCAAAATTCACTCCCAATGAAGGAACTGGTCAACATAAGTTAAAAGTCCAAATTAATGACTTAATAAATAAGAAAATGTGTCATATAAGGATACACATAATCCCGGAAGATATCTGGTAACACAAACAACTAGATTACAATAATATAGATATGTCAAATCTCCTTATCAGCCAATGGCACAACAACAAGGACAAACTTCCAACTAAACCCCAGTAATATAGCTAGCTAAGAGACATTCCGCTTATCGGGTAGACAAGAAAAGCCATCTTAATTGGCCAATCAAAAGACATATTAATCATGCCGTCATATATTGAACCAACAAGCAGGTCATATCGCACACTATAAATAGAGAAACCAAGACCCATGTATGACCATCTTATCCAATAGATTTAAGTTCATTATTCAAATATTGACTTGAGCGTCGAAGTGTCTTGCTTACACCCACCCTTTCTTGTTCTAGTCAAAATACAAAACTGTAGCTTTGAAGATCCTATCCTGCAACATCATCCCGCACAAAGAAAGATCTTGTTGCAGCCATCCATTCCACCAAAACACATACATGGACTAAACTCAATCGTATGTGATTTAGCCTAATTCCTTGTTGTCACATCACAAGACTCATGGAAGTTGTTCTAACAAATGGAGCAACAATATAATACCATAAGACATAATACATGTGTGAGTATTGGATTTAAAAAATTAGCATAAAGCCGAACAATGTAAGCATTTTTTTTTAATTCAATCTTACAAAAATTAAAACATAACAAAACAATCAAATGAAATTAAAAAAATGCACACAAAAGTATTGAAGATATTTTTGAATACAACATAGCTGCTAGTTTGAAAGGTAACTCAAGATACATTATGGATTTCACTATAGCTTTTGAGTGCTTCTGCAAAAATATCCTATTTAAGACATGAGTAGTATTGGAAGGAATTCAAATTCCTTCTTTATAGGTATTCAAATCATTTACTGTAAGTTGAGGGAATTCGAATTCTTCATAAAAAGTATTCAAATCCTCCTTTCCAAAAAGCAGGGAACCGAAATCCTCACAAAAAAGACTCGAATCTTTACAAGCCATAAGCTTTCTAACGATTAGTAACAACTAGTTTTTGTTGAAAACTTATATATACTTCATTACACCTCCAATCATTCTTGGACACTATTATTTCATTATTTGAACCTTTCTTGATAGATTTTGTAACACACCGTGTATACCCGGATTGTTATCATATTACAGTATTAAGCGCAACTCAATTAAATATGGAAGCTAACTTTTTTCTTTTCAATTATGACATCATTCTTATTAACCAAGTTGATTACTTAATCTTTTTTCCAAAACATTGCCTGTATGTAAATTACAATAAAAGCTAACTACACTGAATAACCTCATAATATAATTTTACTGGTCTCAATATGCTTTTTCAGCTCAGCTAGCTCTGGTGGAGACATCCGGTATGGAGCTAAAGAAATAGGCCCCACACCAGGCAATAGGTCAATGGAGAACTTTATCTCCCTCTGTGGCGGAAACTCAAGAATCTCCTCAGGAAACACCTCGAGGAATTCCCTCACCACATGAATGACAGTGATATCCTCTTGTGTCCCACTCACCAAACCTCCCAACATGACATATCCAAATGCCCATGCTCTCAAGGCTCTCC